ACTTGAAAGTATGACCGGGTCCCGTCGAGTGAGTTGCAACCTGGGAGTTTGCGCATTTCTCCCTCACCACCGCTGCGTGTTCGGCCAATTGCGTCTCGAGTAATCTCCCTGTTTCTCCGACGTAAGTGCCTTGTCCACAACTGCACTAGATCAAGATCCGGTGCGCATGCGGATGGCCGCTACGAACTATAAATACTGCACTATCTATGCATATATCATCCTAATCTGTGCATGTCTCACACCATTTTACGGTTACCTAAAATTTAGGATTCTCGACAGAATCCGAAACGTCAAGAAAATAAAATTATTGTTCCAGTGATCGCATCTTCTTCTTCTAAACTGCTTCCTGGAACTTGCATATTCGCTTTTATCGACAACTCCCGCCTTGGTTTGATGCCTATTTTGCGTGCAGTGAGAACTAGGTCGACTAATCGACTTTGTATTGGCATTAGAAGAGCGTGATTATGGGAAGGAGTAGAAGGTAGCACCAAGTAATGCAATGTACATGTAAGTCACCACTATGCCCATCCTGTGAAGTAAAAATGAACGTATCGGTCGAACTCTCGGGTAGCTACCAAGACTGCCGTGATCTATGGCACCTTACAAAGTTTTTCGCTCAATCTCCTGACCTGTTTTGTGGCCTTGTTGCATGCAGTAGATTGTGGATGGTGGAAAATATGAGGCCTAGATAATTGAATAGAAGACGGGAAAGCGTTCTCTGGGGTCATTTGTTTATTTCTCTGGCGTTTCGAACTCTCACGCGAGCCTATTGTCCATGAATGAATAAATGTACAGCTCATTGCGTATTGAACTCAGTTCTGCCGAGAGTGACCTTGACCTCTGTTCGCGCAACGCGAGATAAGCTTTCGGAAAATCAATAAATGAATCCGCGCGTGAATGCCGTGCTTCCAGCAGCAGGCGTGAAGTTCGGTCGTCTGACTGACCCGGTATTCGCACCCGCTCGAAGCCGTACCTTGGCGTAGATGCGTGAGCGGCTACCAAGGAAAGCTTGTCCTTCCGTCGCACGGCGAGTTAGCGCTCGTGCAGTCTTGTGAGAACCTCTTTTTCGGTTTCACCAATATAATTAGCTTGACCACAAAGACAGTCGATGCGGTGGAGTCCCTATCTCATGAAACGTCAACCGCAATTCTGAAATGTTTTTTTTTTCAATTGGAACAAATTCACCCTAACGGCAGCATATTTCAGTCACTTCAGGATGCCAGCTTTTGAATGAGTTTCTCTCTGACTCCCTGCAAAAGGTATGCTCGATAAAAATGGCTGCTTAGGTAGTATGCATTTTTCTCATTGATTTTCAATCCTTTATGAATTCAAATGGAAAACGTGCACAAAGATATTTTTTCCTTTACTCATTTGTTAGCAAAACAATGCTCCTCCAAATTTTCTACTTCAAAAAGAGGTATCTTGTAATTTCATGAAAGTTTATAAATTATCGAATAATGCTGAACTCTACCAACCATTACACTTCAACTCAAGGTTTAAAAATTGCATGTTGCATTTATTCTGTCTATGGAAACGTACATATTCTCCTAGGATATGAGAAAGAGATCACATAGGTTTCTTTAAATTCGCACTGGGTGTATTCAACTTTTATGAGGCTGAAGTTCTCGCGAGAGGTAAAAATCGTGCGAGTTACTTGAGTCGTGGTTCACGGGCCCACAGTCTATAGGCATATGCGGGACCTGCCCAATCCATATTCAGTGCTGAGGTTCAATTTGGCCAAAACAAGTAGTAGGCGACCGCGTCGTCTAATGCCCGCGCCAGATGGCCGAACAGTCTTGACGCCCAAGACCAGCACGACGGATGAAAGTTCAACAGGTCACGAGCCGCATGCCGCCTACAAAGCAATTAGTGCACAACGGAATAACTATAATCAATAGGGGGACAGCTATCGCAAGAGGTTAAATAAGTTAAACCCTGGCAACTGCGATCTCCAGGGCAGTTTCCTTAAGAAACTAGAGAATTCATGCGAAGGCCGGCCTGGTAGGAAGAGTTTATTCTGTACTAAAGGAGTGGGAGAGTAGGCAGTAGGAAATTGATTATCAGACGACCGCACAAACGCAAGCCAGCGTCTGAAGTGGCGTCTGCTCGGCAATTGTCACATGAGGTTCCGTATGAGTCGGCCTGTGATTGGCTGTTCTAGAAGCCGAAAGCAGCAAGCATTCCCACATGCACTTCGACTTGAGCTAGTCAGGACAAACGTTTACGAGTGCAGTTCGTGGAGGCCTAGTGACTCCAAAGCCATTAATTGTCATAGCATATGCTTTGCCCGTTTCTGCTATTTTCTCTCTGAGGATGAATCCGCGATGGGTTTCGAAACGTCAGGCGAGCATAAAAGTATTGTCCCTGCGATCGAGTCGTCTTCTGTATCTCAGTAACTGCCTGGGCCTCGCATTTTCGTTTGTAGATCTGAGAGTTTTTACCGTCATGTCCATTAATGCGTCGCTGAAGATGTTGTTGAAAGTGGACTCTCCAGCTCATTACCGTTGAAAATTTACTCTCCTTCGCTCCTCCTGGTGGCGATAGGTGAGTGATTACGATGCTGAAGGCACCGGTAGCAGGGGCTGCGAGAGCACCAAGCTCAGACTCTGGCACGTGTTTGCACCATAAGGAGATGTCAATCAGATCGTCGGGGAAGGCTACTGCAGTGTGCGAAGCCTACATACGTGTACAAAAAATCATCTTCACGGTTTCTGAGACGCGATAAGCTCACGTCTCTAGGTGTCGCCCAGTTTTTTTTATTTCTGGCAACCGTGGGGTCCCGCGACTAAGCCTAGGCATCGCAAAACAACTTCTGTACATCACAAGAAAGAGGAGCGCTCACCGGAAGAGGTTTATTATAAGCCTGACGCTTCCAGTAATTGTCTCGTATACCCATCTTCAGATAATAAACCTCCCCCAGTGAATGCTCCTCTTTCTTCTGCTTTACCACCTGGGAATTTAATTTTCAGCACCATATCTTCTGTACAATCAATTTTTAGGAAGGACTCAAAGTGCGTGCAATTAGGCCGTAGTTAATAATTAGCTGAAAAGTCTATAATTTTAATGTAACTGGTGCTTAAGGAGATAACAGGAATGCCCAGCTGAGGGAGGTAAACTATGAGAAAGGGGAAACATCTTTCATGTATCGGAAACCAGATGTAACACGGAAGTAAAGGACTGATTCTCCCTCGTGTGTCTTATCCTGAACTCCAACGGTAGATTATTTAAGCCCCCTTAGCCAAAATTAACCCCAGGATCGTGTAAAATAGGCATGGTGCTAAAAGGGATTTTACGGATATGGCCTCACCCTGCGCATACAGCTAACTGGAATAAATCTGAAAAAGCAAAGGGAGACCGGAATGGCCATTTCTGGCTTGTTAGCCCTCATCAGCCAGTCATACCCAACCTCAGGAGTTGTAACCCCCGAGCTTCAAACTCGGGTCTTTTTGTCATTGAGTTTACCACTCTGCCATTGCTCCAAGAGCTAGTTGTTTTGTCGGTTGAAGTCGGGAATATGATCTATTCCATCCTGTCCTCATAGTCGCTATATGACTGCCTGCGTGGGCTCCAACTGTGAGCTCCTTGGCGAAGGGGAAATTAATTGTTCCTCGGCAAAAGTGGTTTAAGTAGTGTACTTCATATACCCCGAGTCCCAGAATTTTTTCCCACGGAAACGGTGATTATAGCAGTTTTAGGCTTGGGAAAATAAGATAGGCAGTGAAGGAAATTTGTACAGGTAGGTGTAGAGTGGAAAAATTTAGTTGAATTTGTTTGCCGCGGCCGCTGTGAGCAGGTTGTTTCGCATGTAAACTGAAGGTGTGCGTGGCGCTTTGCGCCGCGGGCTATACTAATCTAACTCCAGAATGGCAAGTCAGACCTTAGGTAAGTTGAAGTAGACGACCTCCTAACCACCGTTTCTATTTTTCAGGAATTTCAAGAAGTCTGCAATTTGATAATCGGATTTTTCCACAATATATTAAACGATAATACAGATTAGGAAAATCTACAGATATAAATCAACAATATTTCTAAATGTAATAAAATAAAAATGCATATAATTGTTATTAATTTATATTCCACTGCCTATCCTAATCCCCCACCCATAAAACCCCCATAACCAACGTCTTCGTAAGAAAAATGCTGGGAATAAGGATATCTGAGCTGCACTACATAAACTACTGTTGCCTGTTCCTCAATCAGATCGGCGAAGCCCATATATTCGAACATCTAACTGACCGAGTCTACTTCGTCTCACTTACTTCCTGGGCCTCGCATTTTGCTTCTAGAGGTGGGAATTTTTACCACCTTAACTCGTCACCAGTCTATTATTGTTGGAACTTTACTCTGCTTGCCCACTTATTTCCTGCACCGGCTCCTTTTCGTAGTCATTTTTGTTTTTGGGCGCCGAATATCCCCAAAATAACACTGTTATTGCTTGTTTTTTTTTAAAGTCGAGTGCTTGACTCGCCCGAGGCCACGCTTGCGGCAGCCCTGAACACAGCCAAGAAAATCGCTGAGAATAGTCCCGTTGCTGTGCAGACCTCCAAGGCCAGTTTGCTCTACTCAAGAAATCGTTCTATCGAGGAGGGACTCAGACACATTGTGGGTTGACATGTTTCTTTTTCCTTCTATTTGACTTATCCTGCAGAAAACATATTTAACTAATAAGCATGCTGCCCCCGAACGGGGGAATGTATCGGGGGATGTTAAGGCTATTAAGGTTAACTCTACCAGCTGCGATCTTAGGAGTAGAGAGAAGTCATGGGATGATCAGAATGGTAGGAAGAGTGTATTCTGTACAGAGGGGTTGAAAAATAAGAAGGAGAAGATTTGACACTCAGATTGGCAGGC